GAGCATAATAATTTTAACTACATAACAAATGCACTACTTACTTAACTCCAAACAAAAGTATCTTTGATTATTTTGACATATGTACTTAGAAATTTCTCCATAGGGAAATCTTACAAGGTCATTTGTTAAAACAAGCAGAATATAAATCATCAATAAAAGAAATACTTTAAGGGCTTTAACAGTAACTTATCAAGAGAGGATTTCACTAAACAGAAATCAAACTATTGTTAACTGGCCCTGAACCAGCACTTGCAGCATTTTGAAGGGTGTCAAAAACTCAAATAAGTAATTAATGACAGGTTATTAGAGGCCATGTTACCTGAGACCTCAACTTCAAATATGCTGCCCTAAAATAGCAGTGGTATGTTTGACTGAATCTCTGCTCAGTGACATGAAAACACAGACCTAACATTCCTCTTCTTTGTTTTCACTGAATTTAAGCTTCCCCATGAGGTAAAAACACATGACTGGCCTAACAGATGACTCTGCATTGCCTAATGCCTCTAGAATTCTAACCATTAATCTCAGCTTAGTACAGCTAAGCATATAATTTAATAACATGTAATCCAAATGGACAAAGAACATATTCAATATCATTTGCCACAAATATCACTAAAGTTATTAATATTCATTAATAATTTTTCTAGAAAAATAAAGATCCTTTATCATTAGGTTTTTTCTTACCACTTTTATAAATGACAATCATAAGACTTCCAAGGAAAATAGAAGGAGGGAGAGTCAGTCCCTTTTCCTGAGATACAATCTTCATTCACATCAGTTATAAATATATGACACACACACTAATGGTGCTTACTAATAAGTCTCATTTTCTGCTGTGTATTTTTCCAAACAGCACAATTCTTAGTTCTCTGTTAAGTACTCTTTCTGTGCATAGCTCCCTATGTCTTCAAAGTTATTTCTTTGGTTTCACAAAGCCTTAACATGAAGAGACAGTTTCTACAGTTCAGTAGTATAATTTTCCATTATTAACTAGTAGTGATAATTTAGTATTCATTTTTTATAAATGCATGTATTGTTAGGTTCATGTGTAGATGGATACACATAAGCACAGCTTCACACTTAGCCCATTCGTAAGGCAGAATTACTATATAAAACTTGATTTCCACCAAAGAAATATTATAAATAATTCCTGCAGTAGAACAAGAAGTGTTGCACATATATTTTGACATTCATTTCTGATCTATGCTGGGAATGATTTAGAAGGGCTTTGTCATTTTAACCATTTCACAATGTTCAGTCAAAGAGGAAAGATATAAGTACATTTTTTTCTTTTTACACTGCACAGCATTCTCCTGCATTGGAAACCACCAGAAAGCCAAGGGATGATGTCAGTAGGTGTGTGTAGACTACACTACGGGGGGACTATTACCAGGCTTTCACAGTTAATAGAGGGTGCCATTTCAGCTTTCCTCTTTGCTCAACATTTGAAATCCTTGTTTCACTGTACTACTTGTTATATCAATTGGCATTTGCCAGTAATGAGGGCACTGTGTAAAATACATTCAAGTATAGTCAGGTAATTATAAGTTATTAATTTTACTATTTTTAATCTATTTCAAAATTCCACCTTTGAATCATTTACTTATTAAATTGGTATTGATTGCACTGTACTCATTATTTTTATCTGAGCTTATTTGCCCCAACAATATATACTTATTACACATATTTTACAGATGCGGTGCTAAGACTCAGGGCAACGAAGGCACTTGCTCACTGAGTCAAAGCTGGTATATGTGACGACTTGAAATACAGTGTTTTTTCCATTTCCCAGCCTTCTTATTTCAGAATATAGCAGTACTTGCAAACTACAAACATTCTGGAACCATATTAAGTTGGCTTCGAAACCTAAAATTCAAATGACATAATTTTAAAAGTTTTAAACCCTGTACGCCTCTGTTTCTTCATCTGCAAAACAGGAATAAAAGTAGTATTTTCAAAATATTTTGAAAGAATGGGAAGTAACATATGGATAGTATTTAGGAAAATAATAGATGCCCATAATAATAACTAAAGGTAGGTTATATCTATTCTTTTCAGTGAGAGTAAAGATTACCATTAGGCTGGGAATAAATAAATCAGATGTCTACTCTTAGCTCAGTTTTCTAAGTGGCTCTATGACTCTCTAGAGATCGTTTCAGTCAGTGCTGAAGAAAGACAAACGTTTGTCTTCTGATAAATGAGACAAACAGTAAGTGAAAAATGAATAAGTAATAAAAATTTCAGGCAGTGTTTAGTATTATGAAAAAGACTAAGTATTAAAAAGAAAGTAATGAATTATGGTATTAGGGACAGCAAGGTCTATTGTAGGTGGGGCGATTGGGCAAGGCCTCTCTGGAAACATTACTTTGGAACACAGACCTGAATGAGGCAACTGAGTAAGTCCTAAAACACCTGGGAAGTGGCCGCGGTAACAGTAGACGTGAGGTGCGGAGGCTGTAATGAGATTGCGGTTACACAAAGGAGTACCAGGGAGGACAGCTGGGGGACAGTAGGAGGGTGTCAGAGGTAGGGAGGGTTAGACCATGTGGGCTAATATAAGCTCTTGAATTTATTCTAAGTATGTTCGGAAGCCATTGGAGGGTTTTGTTGAGAGCAGTGATAAACAGGTATCAACAATAAAAAACTCTCTTAGACTGCTGAACGGAGGAGAACATCTTGTGTGGGGAATAAACTCCTATATGGTTAAGCATGGGAAGTGAGGGCAATTAGGTTATTGTGACAGCCAGGTGAGAGATAATGGCAGCTCAAAGTTAGACTGTTAGGCCAGCTGATGAAAGTTGTGTGCATGAAACGAAGAGAAGAAATAGTGGTTTTTGCAACTTTTTCCCCCCTAAGTAATGGGATAAACAGTAATTTCATTTACTGAGATGAGAAAGACTGAAGAAGGTGTGATAAATGTCTGACCTATAAGACATCTGAGTCGACTTAGTAAATATGAAGTTAGATATATAAATCAGATTTTCTGGGAAAAGATTGTTAATAGATTTATTAACAGGATTCACCAGCTCATAGATGAATTCTGTGTGAATGAATAAGATCACTCTTACTAGTGATAGCCAAGGTATTCCCGCAATCTCCTAAAGAACGTACAAATCCATTAGAGACCAGAAAGAAAATATCAAAATAAAACTGTATATTTATTCTTACACTTAATTAAAAGTGTGTGATTTGATGCTGAAGCCCTGGCGTGCTCCGTATCAGTGGTTCATGCATCGCACTGCACGCAGGGTGTCCTGAGGTAACTGTGGGAATTATACAACAAAGGGGTGTGATGAGCAAACCCTCATTTTTGTTTTTGTTTGTTTTGTTTCATCATAATAAAACACATTGCAGCTTACTTATACCTGCACACATAAATATATATGAATAGATTACCTAATTTTTAAAATAGCTTTTTACTCTAAACATTTTATTTTGGGATAATTTTAGATATACAGAAAAGCTACACAGATAATACAGTTTCCATACACTCTTCACCCAGTTCCCCTCAGGTTAACAGATATGATTTTAGAACCTATACCAAAACAAAGACACCAACCTGGCACATTGTTTCTAACTTTATTCAAGAGAGGAAAAAGATAATCTACTTCCATCCAGCCAGAAATCGGACTGAAGAAAATCAAAACAACCAAAAAGACTATGTTAATATCACCTCACATGCATTATTTTTCACAATTAACTTTGCCCTGAGTGGACACGAAAGCTTGAGATATTGGATGTATAATGATTGTATAAAGGCATTAAAATTAGCCAGGCATTTAAATAATTTAAAATTAGTGCCATTTGCTTAAGACTGCTTGAAGAGCAAGCAGGAAAGAAGCCTTTCAGTGGTCATCTAAAGCGCAGGAGCAGCAGCGAACCTCAATACTCTGCCACAGAGCTGGGGGTGCCCAACTGTCAACACCAGGAGGTGCCAGGAGAGCCCATGTCATGTGACCTGGTATAACTGAACCTGATGCCTTTTCCACTACAATTTCTCTAGAAATAGTAAGAATGGAAGCATCTGTTTTCAAAACCAAATACACTCAAAAGCTACCACCAGGTACAAGTACTAACCTAGCCTATGTATCACTAAGAAAGAGTAAGTATTCTCATTTTATCCTCTAAATATATACACAGGTCAAAAATAAAATAAAATCTCCACAGTGGAAACAAAAGCTCTCTAAATTATCTGAATCACTGTATTCCAAAGTAGTGCCTCTGGCCTTTTCCTAAAACTTTAAACATCACAAGGAAATCAGTAGGAAGGGAATCATGTGCTAACCAAGTACTTAAAGAGCAGAAAAACTCACTGAAGTGAAAGAGAAATTAGTAAAGGGTGGAGAGGAGCTCCAGCCCCTCCCAGTTTGGGTGAGCAGATCTGTGATTAGTTATCAGGCAGAAACCCACATGCAATTAACAGCTCTGACATCAGGGGACCAGCAAATATAAAACAGTCAGCTTTAAGAAAGGTTCCGCAAAGAATCCCCTCAGGAGTTTAAGGTACTAGAGAGAAGCTCTGTGGGAAGTGGGTGGACTCCAGCCAAAACTCTATTAGGATGGCGATTTCAAATAATGAAAATTAACTTGCTGGAAATCTGCTCCCAATTCTTCTTTCAGCCCCATGGTTAAAGGTAATTAATGGCAGTGACCTGCTAATGAATGCTTTTGATAAAAGACAGCCAGGATATGTATTTTTATAAATAGAAATTAGAAGTGAATAAAACTAAATGACTAGGACAGGGGATTTAATTATGTAGGCATTATAAATGTCACATTTTTAAAGGTAAATTACTGTTTTTATTATTAGAGCTGTCATTTTACAAATTTGAAAAGTATTTTGAAGGTGGGTTGGAGAGGGTTCATGCCATGTATAACAGCGTGCACACACACACAAAACTTGCATAATCCCATTTTGTTTTCTCCTTTTCAGCTTGATTATCTATGTCCCTCAGTCTCTACAGAAAGGGCTGCAGAACCAAAGCCTCGCTTCAAGCAGAATGGAAGTCCATAAACTCCTCTCTCTGCGATTTGTCTTCTTGTCCCTGCTTTTTATTCACCCAGCGTGGGCTCAGTTTCCAAGAGAGTGTGCCACCATTGAGGCTTTGAGAAATGGTGTGTGTTGCCCGGACCTGTTCCCCGTGTCTGGGCCTGGGACTGACCGCTGTGGCTCCTCATCGGGGAGAGGCAGGTGTGAGGCAGTGACTGCAGACTCCCAACCCCACGGCCCCCAGTACCCGCACGATGGCCGAGATGATAGGGAAGGCTGGCCCACACGGTTCTTCAATTGGACGTGTCACTGCAATGGCAACTTCTCAGGACACAACTGCGGGGCTTGCCGCCCTGGATGGAGAGGAACTGCTTGTGACCAGAGGGTTGTCGTAGGTAAGTGGGGATGAGAATAGATAGACAGGCCTGCACCAGACCCAAATCATTTGAGCTGGAAGAACACCTGGAAATCATACAGCTCAATCCTCCCTTCACGGTTGAAGAGAGAGGCTTACAGAGATTAAGCAATTTATTTAATATAAAGGAATGAGCTTGAAGCTCAGATCACCAACTAACATTTCCTTCCAAAATTCTTGTTGAACAACCACTGGAAGCCAGGAACTGTGCTAGATGTTTATGACTATACTTTCAGTTAATTCTTCAGGGTAACTATATTATCATAGGTATGGTTCAGAAAGGACAAATCCATGTAACTGGTACATGGAAAACCTGGAATTCATACTGAGATTTGTCTAGCTTTAATACCCTCGCTAACCCACCAGGGAATTTTCCACTGTGGCGATCAAGATTAGCCATTTTAAACAAGAGTCCTGCCTGCAGCCTAAATAGCAACAAATAACAAAACATTAAATTATAACAGCCAGCAAAACTTGACTATTTTTGATGTGCCAGACTAAGGTTTAACAGAAGGTTTATTTAGTCTTAACTATGAGCCGGGTTCTGGTCTAATTGCTTTTTATGTGTATGCCCTTTAATCTTTACAACTCTGCAAAAAGATGATATTTTCACACACACTTTACAAATGAAACACTGAGGCTTAGTGAAATGAGTGTAGTCATGGAAGGAATGTCTGGCCATAACCACTATGCTATACCACATACCTGGTTTTTGTAAGATTTATGATATTAAAAAGGTAGAAAATTTGAAGAAAAATGCCAATAGTGAGCAGAAATACGTAGAATGCAATCATAAAGTCCACAAGTAAGATTATAGAAAGCTACTGAATTCCTAGATTAAGTAGGAGAGGGAGGGAGAGAGGGATGGAGGGAGCCAGGAAGAGAGGGAGGTAGGGTGCAAGGGATAGTAAGGGGTGTTTTTAAAAGTAGAAAATCATTTAAGCATATAAGCAAATTATCAGTATGGGTAAATGAAACATTGTATGTTTCAAGATTATTATGCTCATTGTCTACTCATCCCCACACAAAAGAGGTTTTCATGTTTGAATTTTGTATCCCTAAAGTCAGGAGAAACATTCTGGACTTAAGTACAGAAGAAAAGAAATACTTTATCCAGGCCCTGGATATGGCAAAGCGTACAATTCACCCTCAGTTTGTCATTGCCACCAGGAGATCAGAAGAAATATTTGGGCCAGATGGCAACACACCACAATTTGAGAACACTTCCATTTATAACTACTTTGTTTGGATACACTATTATTCAGTCAAAAAGACTTTCCTTGGGGGAGGACAGGAAAGCTTTGGTGACGTGGATTTCTCCCATGAAGGACCAGCTTTCCTCACGTGGCACAGGTACCATCTACTGCAGTTGGAGAGAGACATGCAGGTATGTATGAAACATGGCAATTCTCAGGTCCTTTACACAGAGACTGCCTTGTTTGTGAGTCATTTGATTCATTGTGTTCCAAATGAACAAAACATGCGATGACAAAACAATTATCAGTTATTATTCTGCCTTAGATATTCTAAGTTTCTCCCGGTACTAACTGTATTTATTAATTAATCTTGATCTTTTTGAAGTAAAAAGAAAGTAATCTCAACAACCAGGAAGCCAAATGAGACATTTGTAGGTGTAAATCAAAGCCCTGGACATATTCTACAGTCCTGTAATTACAACAACGAGTCATAGAGTTTGCGACAAAAGAATCTCATTTGATCTGGCTTTCTTCTCAAATGTAAATCAGTGCCCCTTACTGGTTTGGATGAAGCAAGTGTATATGAACTTGTCAGTCTTCCAGGTTCAAGTATGTAACTCATTATACCAGTGGATGATTCTAATGTGATACAGGGTTTAAATGATATAAAACATCCCTTTCCATTTCTAGTGTAATATTTTCATTGAATACCATTTTTCTTCATGCCCCTTAGCCACTTTGAGGCTTACAAAAGGAATCTAATGAGAACACCCCATCAGTTAGATATCATTTGTACTTAAGAAGCATTGGTATAAAGTGAACTTCAACCCAAACACACTTATTTCCTGCTTGTTTTTAAGCAGATAAGCTGAAAACACATTAAATTACCTGTTAACAAAGATAGTTTATTATTGTTTCTTTTACTAATAGTTGTTTCTTAAGAAAAGTATTGTAATTTTAAAATTAAATTTTAAATTATTAGATCTCATTAAATTATTAGATCTGGGAAATCCACAAATTAAACCAGTTGTCTATGTAAAATAATGACAATGAATCTCTCTCACCAAGTTAAAGTTTAAAACTTAACCTAAAAATATCTGAAGGCAAAATGGTGTTCCTTTATCCATTTGTAGTATGCTCGTGCCCAGCATCATTCAAAGAAAATAAATGGTTAGAAGAGAGAGAATTAATGCACTAAAATGCAGAATAAAATATTTGTATGAAAGCAGCCTATCCATATGCACTGTGAGAGTGATTAAATGAATTCATTGAATGCTCTGCACTTATTTTATAGCTCTGATTACAAGTAAGACATTTAGTAGATTATTAGTAGATAAATCTGTCATTTGTAATAGACTCCAGATTTTCATACCTTCAAGTCATTTTCCCATGAGCACACCAAAATGAAAGGGCAGATGGAAAGTATCTAAAAGTTTCCATTTTGCCTGTGTAAACTTCTACCTCTGACTACTTACATTTTTAAAACCCAACAGCACAAGGGATCCAACAAATTACAATCTATATGTAATGTGCCATTGAAATGCCACATGAATATGCTCCAGCTCCCAAATGTCAGTTGCTGAACCACAAACTTATTCTTAATAATCCCTTGGAAGCCATCACTAATATTTGTGAATCAGAACAATAGCTTCTAAATGAGGACTCTAAGTCCCTGGAGATCAATAACCGGAGATGCCTTGGAAAGCTTTTGGCCTTCTACACCACCAAAGACAAGGGAATGCTTCCTAAAAAGGGTTTAAAGTGGAAAAGTAGGAATGTACCAAATGCATGTGAGGTGGCATAAAAACAATGGCAATACCTACATTTAAATCCAAAGTTTTAAATATATCTCCCCAAGGACCAAAAGGAACGAGAAATAACAAGTACAATAAATGTGTGTTTTTAAGGAATCCAATAAAAAATACACCTGCAATCTAGAGCCCAGCATTTTTTAAATTGTTGAGATCAGCTCTAAATGGAAACCGGGTTTCTTTTCTAAAGAGCAGTGTGCACAAGGAAATATTCTGTTTCTCTTTTGCATTTCCTATAGGTATGAGTTTCATTCAGGCAGAAGCCTGAGTCTTTCTAGTTTAGCTTCTAAAACCAGGGTCCCTTAAGTAAAACACCTTTAGTGCCCAGGCAGATAAGGTAAGTTTGAAAGAACCTGTGTAGCCTGTGGCCCAACCAGAATCTAAATACCTAAACACGTTCAAGTTAAACTAAAAAACAGAAACAAAACCAAAAGTACTGCTCACATAACATATTCCAAGGCTGGATCTGCCTCCAGACCAAGAGTGAGCAGTGCCTGAATTAAAGACAAGGAAGTGGAAGGAGGGGGAAATGTCAGGGAGCAGAGGTTATTATTGATAAGTTTGGGTATATAATCAATAGAAATAGAATTACCTGTCTAAAAAAGAAAAGGAAGACTTTTCCCCCCTGCCCCCCAAAAAAGTCCTTTTGCAGGAATTTCTGTATAATGAGTTGAGTTTCAGTCCCTCTAGTGCCTAAAGTCACTCCTCGTAGTACAATAAATTAGAAGCTTTGTTAATAAGGTAGTGAAGTCCTCCAGCCCCTCAGACACACTGACATACTAAGTGGTTCCTAAATGGCTGAAAAGAACTACAAGAAATAGACTGCCAGGGAGGAAGCCAAGCCAAGAGGGAGGGTTTTAAACAAAAGCAGAGAATGGTAACAGAGTTTCTGTGATCTAGGAAATGTTGCAGAATCCTTCTTTCTCCCTTCCCTACTGGAATTTTGCAACTGGAAAAAATGTCTGTGACATCTGCACCGATGACTTGATGGGATCGAGAAGCAACTTTGATTCCACTCTTATAAGCCCGAACTCCATCTTTTCTCAATGGCGAATAGTCTGTGAATCCTTGGAAGACTACGATACCCTAGGAACCCTTTGCAACAGTAAGTTCCAAATGATACCTAGGATTCAGAATTCCCTATTAGATGGAGAGATAAATGTGCTGTCTGAGAGCCCTTCATTCTACTAAGGACTTCAAACTAAAATCTACTTTTAATACAGAGAATCAATGTACAGATATTTATGGAGCAACTAAGATATTCTAGACAATAAGGTACACTAGTTGGGGAGGAAAGGTGTCTGTACATATTTACATTGTTCTTCTTGAGCAACTTGTTAAGTGAATTGCTCAGTTTCTTATTTTGCAAAGGTCTGATTATATAAATTAATCATCTGAGTATACTCAGCACAGCTTAGTGATCATGTGTCTTGTGTTGGAATTTCACAAAAAAACGTTTCCCTAGGAAATCTGAAACATGAAGAAAGACTTGGAAGTGCTCCAGGAGTTAAAAAATATATATAATAATAAATAACATATCTATAGTAAAAATTATATTATTATAATATTCTATTATGATGTTAATCTAGTCATAGGGTTAAAAATCAAAAAGGATATAGAGAACATTTAACCAGTTGTCCTAGCATCCTATCCTCAGTGCTCTGAACACCATGTATGCTATACATCATTTCTGTTATACGTGGATCTGATCCTGAGCTTTCTGTTCTCTTCCTTGGATCATGTTATTATCGTTGCCTGTGCTTAATTATTAGAGTCTCTCTGTCGCATCTTATTTTTCCTCTTTAGTCATGTCTGGCTATTTTTAACTTTTGTTCTTCCATATAAAAGCTAGATTCATTGGAATTTATTCTATTATATATTCATAAGATTTATTCTGCATGTATTCTTTAAAGTATCAATTATTAAATTATTTTCTAAACTGAGAGAAAATATTTTAAATGGAACAAAGAAATTAGGTGGGTTTTCCCCACTAGGAGATTATTTAGCTCTGTTTAGGAATAAGAGAAGTACTGTGTACAACATTGTCTTCCACATAAGCTTAACAATTAGAATAAATTGTTTTTGTTATTTTGTTGTCGTTGTTTGCATACCTAATAATTAGTCATGCCTGGTGGTAGAGAAATGAAACTGAGGATCCAGATCTCTGTGTATTCCAAAACATTCATCCCTCTATATTTTGTACTGGAAGTTTTCCAGACATTTTCCAATCATCCCATTGACTGAATAACAAAATGCAGCACAATTTAAATGAGTAAATCAAATTACAGCATAGAAGGAATTTTTATCACAATTTTTCTTGTCATTTAATATAACACATAACTCTGACACACAGTTTCCTAAAAAAATGGAATGTATCTTAGATGAAACAAAATTTATGATTACCCCTTGCTTTAGTTCAAGATACTAATACAAAACTTAATATTTATTAGGCCAGTGAAAGAAAAAAAGGAAATTATCATTTTCTTGAACACATTGTGTCTGATATGGTGTTAAATGCTTTGATACGATGTTTTATTTAATTCTCATAGCAATTCTTTTCTCCTTCTGCTTTTTTTCCTGAAAGAAATTTCCAGTCCTCTGGTTTCACTAATCAGCTTTTACAGGACACCCATGCACGAACATCTTAAAATCAAACTGTCTTTATAGATTTTCCACTCCTATGTTTTCATAAGCTTGTTCACAGTATCTCTCCAACACCCCATTAATATACCAAACTTGGTATGTAAATTGGAAGAGCGAATTACTGATCCCTAACATTCTTTCATCCACTAAAATATATTCTTTGATTCATCAGATAAGAAACACTGTTCTTTCTTCACAATACTTCTCAAATCTACTTTCTCCTACAGAACTTGGAACTTTTCATTCATTCCTACATAGAAATCCTACGGGACTCTAATCCACAGGATGTTAATAGTTGTAATGGAAAGGGGATGTAAAGCACAGCCTAAGAAATACAGCCAACAGTATCATAGAAACTCTGTATAGTGTCAGGTGGGTATGACATGTAATAGGGAGATCACCTTGTAAGTCATATAAATGTCTAACCACTGTGCTGTACACCTGAAACTAATATAATATTATCTACTGTAATTAAAAATAAAAATAGCTATAATGGCAGAAGTTGCCCATGTACAAATTTTAAAATCACTAGGTTAAAATTAAATTGGTGTAACTAGTTTCATTTCTGTCAAAATTCTGCACTGTGAAAGTCCATGAGGGAAAATTAGGATATAGTGTTTTTGAAGCCTAGGTAGTTGGTACTACTTTCTTGGGGTATATTGATAGTTCCCTGACCAATAATCTCCAAAATATCAGCTTGAATGGATAGCTAAGCTAGTACAATCTGAAAGTTTTCATGATAATGTGTACCTAAAAATGCACGTGTACTTTCCAGTCTCAATATAGGCATATGTTTTATTTTTTTATGACATAAAGTTAGTTATGCTAATTCATCAGGCACTACTCATTATGTTAGTTATAAAGCATACAATTAGGATTTTTATGAATGAGGTAAAATGAAAATGAGTAGATGTTGAAATATTCTCTCTCCCCTCTAAGGCACAAACACTGCCCTCTGGAGACCAGTGAGGCAGACTAATGCAAAATGCTCCTTGCCAAGCTCCTCTCTTCCCACCTACCTACCTAAGGCTTCTTCCTACCGCCTGAATTAAATATAACTTTCCCATCTTGCCTTTTGATTTCTTCGCATTTTGGTTCTTGTCTAGCTTCCCATCTTTTCCACCATCCAATACTCTCTTACAATGCCACACACCCCAGGCAAGCTAGACTCCAAACAGGCCCACAACCAACATGATCTATCCCGTATAACAACATGTACCAAACAACTGTTTAGCAACTATTATATGTCAGGCACTGCACCAAAACTGGAGGATAGACTGGTAGCAAGAACATACAGACCTCTTGCTCTGATGGGCTTATATTATAGATGGAAGAAAGTTTATCACTTCTTGTTCTCACTGCTGCCTAAAATATCTCCTGTTTCATATATGGAAATTCTCCTCAGTCTTTAATGGCACTTTCTAGACCCAATGGGAAAGATATCTTCCTCCCTTCCTCAGGAAGCATCTATCGTATTATTCCTAGTATCATCCTTTACCTCTTAGTCTTACTGCCCTTCAAAAACTTTATTTCTGACACTACTTGGGGAAAAATGTGTTGATTGAAATTGAAGATTTTTTTTTTAATTTCTCTCAAGGCCTGAAACAGACAACTACAAAACTGTGTGTGTGCGTGCATACACACATGTATAAAATGCAGATTTCAGTGTGAAATTTAGATTTATGAGATTATTTTGGCAAAATTCAATTTTCCATTGAATGTTCATTTTAATACATTCTGTGGGAAAAAAAAAATGTTGATTTAACAAGTACCAGAACCTCTCTCTCTAATTGTGATCACTTATTCCTTCAGATGATTTAATGTATCATGTTTCTACTCATCTCAAAGAAGTTGACATAACTTAGATTTTCTCACTTTAATGCCACTAAAAAGCATTTTTTTTAATTTTTTCTTCTACCAAGAACCTCCTATCACTCAGTGTCCATGAAATATGTAACATTGTAAAGAGCAATGATAAGGTCTCTAAACATCCTGTAACTGCATACCCCATCATTTTCCCAGGCACTGAGGGCGGGCCAGTTAGAAGAAATCCGGCTGGAAATGTGGCCAGACCAATAGTGCAACGCCTTCCCAAACCACAGGATGTTGTCCAGTGCTTGGAAGTTGCTGTATTTGACACACCTCCTTTTTATTCCAATTCTGCAAACAGTTTCCGAAACACAGTGGAAGGCAAGTAAACAAAATTGGTGCTTTGAATTGACCTAGTCATCACAGTGGATTGAAGTACTCAAATTCTCATCTCTTTGAAATATCCTTAAATGCCATATTGATCCAAAGACTTTATCTGAATGGTGCTGCCTATTACGATGTGGAAACAATTGTCTGCTCAGAAAAGAATTTCCTCAAAGAAAAGTGTCAGGCCACAAAACTCTCTCGATCATAAGAGAAGCCTTGGAAATAATTCTCCAATCTCTTAAAAACTTAAAAAGTATTTAAACTTAAATTTCTGGTAGGTAGTGGGCCACTATATGTATAACAATCAAATTCTAGTATAAGCAAATAATATTTAACACTTTAAGAGATTATTAAATTTTAAAAAGCAATTAAAAATAGGAACCATTTATTGACATCCAATAAAGCCTAGTTCGGGCATATGATATTTAGGTCTGTATCACCCTGTAACTTTTTTAAGTTACACTGAATTTAGGTCCACGAAAATTCAGTCTTGCATCTAGTGATATTTAGTTTGGTTTTCTTTATTTAATTCAGAGTACTTTAAAGCCGAGGAAATTGTACTTTAAAGCTTGGGAAATAAGTGCAATTAATTTCCCAAGATATTCAGCTAGTTAGCAACACAGCACAAATTCAAATCCAAATTTTCTAAGTTTAGAGTGTTTGTATATTCAATATTGAAACCTCTAAATCATGCTTGGTATATACTTGAAGTTTTAAAAGGATAGAAAAACTTTAATTTTGTTATACCTTAATGTCAAAATTTACCTTAAATATAGCATTGCATATATTATAAAAATCATGCAAAAAAATGCCAAAATTATGGGGAATTGACCTCTGTCCCCTAATCTGAGATATTTGATGTATAAGTCTGATAATTATTTTCAATTCTTTTCCTTTCATTATCAAAATTATATGCCATTCTTTCTCTTTATATTAATCTTTAATAACTGTATATGAATCACTTATTTGGAGATAACTCAATAAATATTCACTATATTTTGACTAAATTTGTATATATAAACCAAAGTTATACGTACTGATTTCTATTAGAATGCATAGATTATGTCTTATTGATGCCTAATTAAAAGACCAAATTCACTGATTTCTCTTTTTTTTTTGTGATATCTCACTGTGGTTTTATTTTTTTTTTTTACCTATCAAAAATTATTTTATTTTATTTTATTTCTTTTTTAATTTATTTTTTCAAATACATTTGTCTCTGCCTACCCCCCACCACTTTCCCTTGCCCCCTCCCTCCCTCCCTCCCTCAGCTCTTCCCCTTTGGTTTTGTCCATGAGTCCTTGCTATATGTTCCTTGACTTTCCCCTTCCCTTCCTTTTCCCCGCCCCCGCTCCCTCCTTCACTGTCTCTCTTGGTTTCTTTTCCTTTCAGTGTTGCTGGTCTTATTTTCCTTGCATCTTTGTATTGTTGGTTAGGTTCCACTTATAGGTGAGATCATATGGTATTTGTCTTTCGCCCCCTGGCTTATTTCACTTAGCATAATGCTCTCTAGTTCCATCCATGCTGTCACGAAGTTTAGTAGTTCTTTTTTTTCTCTCTGCTGCGTAGTATTCCTTTGTGTATATGTACCCTTACTTTTTGATCCAATCATCTACTGATGGGCATTTAGTTTGTTTCCAACACTTGGCTATTGTCAATTGTGCTGCTATGAACATTGGGGTGCATACATTCTTTTGAATTGGCACTTTGGGATTCTTAGGGTATAGTCCCAGCAGGGAAATCCCTGGATCAAAAGGCAGTTCCATTTTCAGCTTTTTGAGGAAATTCTACACTGCTTTCCACAGTGGCTGCACCAGTCTGCATTCCCACCAACAGTGGACTAGGGTTTCCTTTTCTCCACAGCCTCGCCAGCACCTGTTGTTTGTTGATCTGTTATGATGGCCATTCTGACTGGTGTGAGGTGGTACCTCGTGGTGGTTTAGATCTGCATATCTCTGATGGCTAGTGATGCTGAGCATCCTTTCAAATGCCTCTGGGCCCTCTGTATCTCCTCCTTGGAAAAGCGTCTGCCCAGGTCTTTTGCCCATTTTTGATTGGATCGTTTGTTGTCTTGGAGCGGAGTCAAGTGAGTTCTTTATATATCTTGGAGATCAAACCTCTATCTGATGTATCATTAGCAAACACATTTTCCCATATGGTTGGCTCCCTTTTCATTTTGCTGATGTTTTCTTTAGCCGTGCAGAAGCTTCTTATTTTGATGAGGTCCCACTTGTTTATTTTTTTCTTTTATGTCCCTTGCTTTAGGAGACGTATCAGTGAAAAAATTGCTGCGTGGGATATCTGAGAGTTTCCTGCCAATGTTCTCCTCTAGGACTTTTATGGTGTTGCAACTTATATTTAAGTCTTTTATCCATCTTGAGTTTATTTTTGTGTATGGTGTCAGCTGATGATCCAATTTCAATTTTTTGCATGTAGACGTCCAGCTCTCCCAACACCATTGTTGAAGAGGCTATTATGGCTCCATTTTATGCTTCTGCCCCCTTTGTCAAATATTAGATGCCCATATAGACCTGGGCTTATTTCTGGGCTTTCTATTCTGTTCCACTGGTCTATGGATCTGTTCTTGCAAATTCACTGATTTCTCAACAGATGTATAAAAAGACTAGTGCCTACCGACACGCCATATACATTACAGGCAATCTTTAAAATCTTTAATGAAAAAATAATGGAACACATGTATGAAAATTAATAAATGAGTATAACTACACAAGATAATATATTTTACATTTTAATTTTACCAACTTTTCCCTGATTTCCCACCTCTGGTCCCTCAAGCCAAGCAGACACACATATAACTCCATCTCACACCACAGGCCCTTATTTTTTGTGTTTTATCTATTCTCAACTTCCCTCTAATATATATATACATGATATATATAATATGGGGATATATATGGAAAATATGAGCCATATAACATATTTATATTATACAGGGTCCAGCACAAATAATGCCCTTTTTATTGCAAAACATTTTATTACAAAATCATAAGCATGTAATTCTGTAACATAATAATATCAAACTCAAGCTTGCCATATGACATTTTAGATGGAATGATCAAATTAAAACTATAAATTATTACACCCATATTATTACCCTACCAACCACACTCAAGCACGCGTTACATCTGCCAGACCCTGTATATAATGTGGGGATATATGATATATGTGATATATATGTGTGAAACAAATACATATATGTGAAATATATAATGTGGAAATATGTAGATCGAATGTTATATGAATGTCTTGACAGCAGGCTTACCAGGTGCCTAAAAGTAGTACAGAGGTGTTAAGAACACTCTGAGAAATTAAAACTTCTCCATAAAAATAACTTTCCAGAAATAAATATGCTGACAGTCGTTCAAAGTAGGTAATATAGGAAACTAAAGTAACATCTGGCAATTTAAGTTCCAGGACAATCAGAGTGGTCTCTGAGTCATGTCAGCAGTTTTTAGTAGAAGCTGGTGATTTCCACTCTCATGTGGAACAATGATTGCCTTGTTGAAACAGAGTATCCTGTATAGTTTGACTGATACTCTTTGCAGGTCGTTATTTTTAACCTGGAGGCTACATTTAGAATGCCATGCCACTAGCTTAAAACTAACCTAGCTATGGGTATAGCAAACAAATGCCACCCACCATAGGTACAGAGAAACAGTGCTATAATATTAAGGTGACAATTTTCCTGACAAGCTTAGGAAAAATTGTTTCTCAGTATAGTCACTGCTGTTCACTTGCAAAAAAAATTTGTAATGATTTTTTCCTATTGTCACTTATTTTTATATCTAGGTTACAGTGATCCCACAGGAAGATATGACCCTGCTGTCCGAAGCCTTCACAATTTGGCTCATCTATTCCTGAACGGAACAGGGGGACAAACCCATTTATCTCCAAATGATCCTATTTTTGTCCTTCTGCATACTTTCACTGATGCGGTCTTTGATGAATGGCTGAGGAGATATAATGCTGGTGAGACACTTTCATACGCTTTTTGCAGGCTCAGCAAAAAAAAATTGTTCGGGTGGCATAGTCATCATTTTAGGCTAAACGATACACATAGACTACATTTCAAAATAAGGATAAAATAGCTATACTATCTAGCCATTTCTAAATATTCCACTTTGAAATGCAGACAAGAAGTCTCTCAGAATTGTTATTATAAGATGATATTTATTAGCATTCAATAGAACTACTCAGGTAATCCCTTCTTATTTTCATTGCTTCCCAAATTTATCTCCCTCATATTTTCCAATAAACATTCTTTTTGCTTTTTTTAAAAATTATTGATTTTTAACATGAATGGGAAAACCTTACACAGGTCTTCTTTGATAATCCAAAAGGCAAAAAATACTATAATTCCCAGTTTTGATTTTATTACTTTATGAACTCTCACAAATGAAAATTTTGCTCAACTTGAAAAGTTAATGTTGGTTTTCATATCACACCATAGAAAATCTGTTAAGTTCATTTTGACATATTCTTTAAAATATTATTCACAGGGCTACTTTCTCTTCACTACTCAGCTAAGAGGCTTGAATAGATTTGTGTGTGTGTGTGTGTGTGTGTCTGTGTGTGTCTGTGTCTGTGTTTGTATTACTTTTCACACAAAGAATGTTGCCTCTCTGGTTAAAACACCACACATTTTTATGCTTTAAAGGTGTTCTTAATTTTGGCTTCTGTGCCTTTATCTTGCATAAAAACACAATATTTGAGATTAACTATCTATTCATTTATCTACCTAATTCAGCCAGTCTGTTATTTTCCTGTGTGTGTGTGTGTGAGTGTGTGTATACAGTAGACATACATGCCTACTATTTCCTAACCAGTATTCTAGGTATGGAAAATTCAGTAGCATACAAAACACACAAAAATACTTTGTCCTGGAACTTTCTTATATATTGGTAGAAATGACAATAAACATATGTAAATAAATAACTAGTATTATAGGTAGTATATAAAACCAGAAAAGAGCATAAGGAACATTGTGTCAATACGTGGAAAACCCTCCCAAGACAAAGGAACAAAGAAGCCCACTGAGGCTGAAGCAGAGAGAAGAGTGGGGAGAGATTGGAGGGAGATAATAAGGTGAGAGGGGTAACAATTGCATTTAATATGAAGAGAGATGGGGAGAACTTGAAGGGTCTTGCATAGAGAGATTACATTATAATTCAATTGCTAATTTTTGCTATTTATACTATTATTTCTCCATTCATTTTAATGGATATAACTTTATCACCTAGCTGAAGCTAAACTGGGTTGAGGCTGATCAAGTCAGGATTCAGTAAAGGTGAAATGGGAAATTTAAAAAACTAAGTTATTAACTTTAATGTCAAATTTTCATAAAAAATTAACAGTAATACATCAAAAATGTGAGTTCCTTGAGGACAGAGATTTTGTCTTTTTTGTTCAATGACACAGCCCCATGCCTAGACCAGGAGCTCACCAGGTGTTAATAAGTAAATACTTAATTAGTATTAAAACATAAACAATATTTGCCATTCCTATAAATAATTGTCCTTCAAACTAAATTCTCAAATACTCTTCTACGCTTCATGGGAACACACTGACTGTCCAGGTAGCATACTCCTTACAAACAAAAGCTGACACCCCATTAGCATTCTGACCTATTCCAGCTGCTCTAAATATATTTCCACTAAATGCACTGCCCAAGCCCACTTCCAACTCTAGTTTTTAACATTCCATTTGCTATTTAATTGTACCAACATCTAGAACAACAACAAAAAACATCATTTTTTGCCACAAAGGACATTTTGGTACTTCTGTGCCTAATAACAAAAACTCACTGTGACATAAATACCTGTGACTGGTATTTAAATGGAATCATCCCCCCTTACCCATGGGGACATGTTCCAAGATCCCCAGGGTACACCTGAAACTGTGGATAGCACTGAACCCTATAACTGTATGCACTGTATTTTTTCCTATAGGTATATACCTATGGTAAAGTTTAATTTATAAATTATGCACAGCAATAGACTCATAATAATAACAACTGGTAATAATGTAGAACAATTATAACAGTATACTTTAATACAAGTTATATGAATGGCTTTGGGGCAATTACTAAGAAAATAAGGGTTATGTGGACACTAGCACTGCAATACGGCGACGGTGATCTGATAAGTGAGAGGTCTACCAAGTGATTAGGACAGGCAGCATATACAGAGTGGATACGCTAGACAAAGGAGTGACTTACTTCCTGAGTAGCACAGAACAGGAGCATAAAAGATTTCATCACACTACTCAAAACTGAGCAAAATTTAAAACTTACAATTTTTTTTTATTTTCTGGAATATCCCATTTAATATGTTTGGACCACAGTTGATGGCAGGTAACTGAACCATGGACTGCGAAACCATGGATTAGGGAGAAACTACTTTAGAAACAGGAGAGGTAGCAGGAAGCAAATAGGATTCCAGGATCTTGACTGCAAAGTTTGTGGGGATTTTTTGCCGACAGAGTAAAACCCGAGGAATAAGTTAACACTCAATTCTCTAAAAGTAAACAGAAAAAAAAATGAAAAATAGTAAAGAGACATTTTCAGTCAAGGAGAAACCTCCATTAGAAATTATCTCTCAAATTTAAATTATAGATGATGCTACAGCAAACTATAAGTCCATCTTTTCTTTAGTTTTGAAAAATAAGTTTAATGAATTTTATTCAAATTAGTTCCTATAATTTAAAAATAAAACAATTAATAATCATCAAAGATGATAAAATAGTAAAACATTCCTGCTTTTGAACTTTCTTTTTCTATTGGGTATGTTAGTGCTACACTCAAAGCATTCGAAATCTGTTTTATGCTTATATCTTCATTTAGTATGAAATATAAAAGAATGTTTTTAATGTTATCTTTGAATATTTCAGGACAACTTCAGAACATAATAATATGTTAATATTAAAAAGGTGTTTTTGGCATATTTTAGATATATCCACCTTTCCATTGAGAAATGCTCCCATTGGACATAATAGACAGTACAATATGGTGCCATTCTGGCCTCCAATTACCAACACAGAAATGTTTGTTACTGCTCCAGACAACCTGGGATATACTTACGAAATTCAATGGCCACGTAAGTACTGAAAATGTATTTTTACTGTGGAAACTTCCAAGCAAATTTGTTACCTTTAAAGTAAAATGATCACAGTATTCCTGAGGCTTACATTTTCCACTTGCATTTAGAAATTTTCATTTGGATTTTTGTTTGGGGGTAAAGAGGGTAAATTTAATATTTGTTGCAAGCCCACTCTGACTTGGTATTGAGCTGATTATATAGCATACTATCTCATTTAATCCTTATATCCCTCTGTGATAAGTATTATAATCCTGAATTTACAAATAAGAAAGACAAGGCTTCGAGAGAGTAACATCAAAGCTTACATTTTTAGTAAGAGAAGTGAGTCTTGAGCTTAGGCCCCTAAATTTTCTACAGTATAATATACCTGTTTTTATCTATCCTAAAAAAAAAAAATGGCATGAGATACTCTCAGTTGCTTTTTGTGATATTTTGAAATTCAAAACTTTGTTTATTTTTTCAATTTCTTGCCCTGGATGGTGTGGCTCAGTGGATTGAGAGCCAACCTGGAAACCAAAGGGTTGCTGGTTCGATTCCCAGTCAGGTCACATGCCTGGGTTGTGAACCAGGTCCCCAGTAGGGGTTGTGCAAGAGGCAACTACACATTGATGTTTCTCTCCCTCTCCTTCTCCTTCCCTTCCCCTCTATCTAAAAATAAACAAATAAAATCTTTAGGAAAAAAATGTCTTTCTCAAGAAAGGCAGTAGAGTAGAAGAGCACAGGATTTGGACTCTGAAAGACCTGGGCTCCAAAACCCATTCTAGTACCTATTAACCAAGTGACCTTGGGCGAGCAACTTAGTCTCTATGCCGTCATTTCCTCACATGTAGAATGAAAATGATAAAAACTATCCCAATAGAGTCTAATCAGTATGAGAGATTAGGAAGTGCCTTCAGGATGACAAGTGCTATGATAGGCAATGTGGCCAATAAAAAGTAAGTATGAGGATTTCTGTAAAGTGACTAAATTTATGGTATCCACTTGTTGATGGCAACTATTATAAGATTTATTCCTTGCTCTCATTTTATTTTTCAAATAGGTCGGGATTTTAGTATTTCTGAGATTACTACCATAGCAGTTGTTGCTGCCTTACTACTGGTTGCAGTCATTTTTGTGGGTGCTACTTGTCTTATCCGTGCCAGGAGCAACATGGATGAAGCAAATCAACCTCTCCTCACTGACCAGTATCGACACTATGCTGAAGAATATGAAAAAATCCATACTCCTAATCAGTCTATGGTCTAACTATAAACCATAGGTAGACTATGGGCTTCAATTTCTTATACATTTGTATTACAAAAAAACCCTGGTTGAAGATAATAGATTGAATTACTAACTGTATTTTCTTTCACTCTGTTACTTCTTCCTTTTGTATGTACATATTGGTATTAAAGCTCCAGATGTTACTTTCCAGAAGTGGGGAGAGTCACAGCCTTTTCAATAGGCTCTATTTAAATTGCTGGTTGCACCAACTCCATGATATTTAAGCAGAAAATGCCAAAATATTTCACATGTTTTAATGATCACTTATATGAGAGTGTAAATAAGCTACTTGTGCTGTTTATGTGTAAAGAAAAATCATGACTGACAGAAAATTCCTGATGAATAGGCACTTCTACAGTGTTAAAATGTAAACACATTTCCAGCCATTGAAATTGACCAACAGATATAAAGGAAGCCACATGTATTAGTTAAAATAATTTATGTGAAATTATAAATGGGATCCCAATTAACTTCTTCAAACTGGTCTTCCCCTTTGGGCATCAGCATATACTTCTTAGTCTAAGGTTCAAGACCACAACAAAATCACAATCTTTGTCCCGCTTTAAAGAGAGAAAAGCTTCACTTTGTTTCAGAGATAATTGACACTGCCTGCTTCCATTGTGTTCTCCTCTCTCTCAATCACTGACAAAGGAACTACCCATCCATACACCACACCTCCCAATTCCTTGTCTAGTATCTTAGAGACCCACAGGAAGGCACCAAGGTGCAGAATGTGCATCTGAGTGTCCTGCAAATAGCATTCAGTTAATTGTGTCTAATTCAAGTAGCATTCTCGCATCACTTGTCAGATTTATGCATTTTCAAATAAAATATTGAAATATTATTTCACTGGTCCTCTTTTTTATGGAATTCTGCAAGAACGTCATTCTTTTTCTACCTTTTATCATAAAATATTTTCTTTTTTGATCCTCTGCCACTGAAATCATATTCCCAATGAAGAATTCTATAGGCTAGTCACAGTGAACAAATATGTTCATTAAAATTGGTATAAAAAATAGAAATAACAACAATAGTAATCATACACTATAGAAAATTGCTAGTCTGATATTCCCAACTTAATAAACAAAGAAAAATCAAAATTATGTATAAATGATTGGTTACTGGTCTTCCCTACATCAAGCGATCTTAAGGCTTTGTATACAAGGTAGACAAAATGTGATAATGGAATAGAATGCATATAGAAGTAACATTTTTTTAACTTTCAAACAGCATTTCTCAATTTATTCTCTTTGAATACATTTTGATTTACATACTCATAGCTGTTCAGATAAATTATTGTGTTTTGTAAGATTTTTTACTATACAAACATCAATGAAACTGAGTCCCCCGTTTCATATTTTTGGAGTGAATTGGAGTAACTTACTAATTACCCATTTCATAAACATTTATTAAGCACATACTAAGTTTCAAACCCAGTTCAAGGTAATAGTGATCTGAGGAAGGGAAAGTCAGAAATGTAAAATTGAGAGTGTCACATTTGACTTAGGCCTCAAGGAATGCCAAAGGATTTACCAAATACAAGATTAGAGAAGGGTATTCCATGCAGGAGTGACAGCATCAGCAAAGGTACAGAAGTTTGAAAGAGCATGAAGCATTCAAAAATATAAAGTAGGTCAGTGTGCTTAGAGCACAGTTTCCATGCAGGAGAGGAGAAAGATAAATTAGGAATAAAATCAGTGTCTAATATGCAACCCTAAGAAATTTAGAGTTCATTTTATAGGTAAGAGGGCATAGTGGTAAATCACAATTAAAGTATATTTTACAAAGAGAATGATGGTGGTGATATTTGTAAATGTTGATTAATGTTAAGAGTAGACACTAAGACACTAGTTAATATTTAATAGCTCATAAGGAAGGAAGAACTGTCTCAAAACATAAACATTAATTCTAATAAATCCTAACTATGAGAAAAGCTACACCCATTATCTTATAAATATAACTTTGATCATTTCTTCCTAAATGTGTTGCTTTATTTTTCTTTCATTCAAGGCCTTCTTTCAGTATTTTACAGTTCTATAAGCTCTTATGACTTGTCTTGATCACAATCTCATATTACTTTTTTCTATAATATGTTAAATTATTCATTGCAAGTAAAACTCATTTGTAATCTTGGATATTTCCCACTGTTCTCAGACCTCCAGTTTTTTCATAAAACATAGTAAATGAAGTTATTAAGTGCTCACTGGAAAGCACATCCCACACCACTTAAAGCCATTCTTTCCTATTGCATAAGCATCCAATGTATGCCAAGGCCACAAATTGAGCTAAGCTTAATAGTCTAAACAGTAAGTAAAAACGTTTGAATGCACCTTCCTGTACAAACAAGTATGAAAAGCTATTACTTTTGTGTCCCTATGAAATTACATTTTATCTTCCATTCCTAGAAGCAAATTTCAGAGATAGTGCTCACTTACAGTTCTATGTAATCTTTAAAAATGAATTCAAGGGGAATGTTGGTAAATTGGAACATACTTCTTCATATTTTAAGTGATACAATGATACAATTACCAACCCAAGAGAAAAAACTTTGGAGAATCAAGAGGGCGGAGGAGAGAGTAGAAGTCTCACTGACCTCCTCCCAAGAACAAACTGGAATTACAACTAAATTGTGGAGAAATCACCTGAAACAAACAACTGAACAATAGCGAGAGAGGAGCCTTGTAACCTTGGAGACAGAAGAATCGGCTTTAGGGCAATCTAACTGCCACTTACCCTGGTCTTGGTCAAAGGTGGGGGTAGAGTGGGCTGGAGACACCTGAGGAGAGACTGGGGAAGGAGGCTTTGGGGAGAGAACTGAGAGAGTAGCCAGCCGGATCTCGGTGCTGACTCATTCCCCATGCGGTAGCAGCCATCTAGCTCAGGCAGAGACCACTCCACTGAACGGCACCAGTATCAGAAGACCCAATAACCCCACCCCCAGGTGGGATTCCAACCGACCCTGTGCTGTCTAAGCTGCCTGCTGAGTGCAGAGTGACTAGATTAACAGCTGAAGGAGATAGCCACAAACAGTAAATTCCTGGAAGTCTCAAACAGACTGTCTAAGGTCAGACAGAGATGACATCTGACATCATCAGAGGCAGATCCAGAAAGTAAAAACAGTGGTCTCCAACCATAGAAATTCACACCACAAAGTCAGAAAATCAAGACAGATCAACTTAAGAAGCATAAGCAAAAGAGAAGAGTCTCACAAATAATGGGAAGACAAAGAAATATGCTCCACTCAAAGGGAAAGGAGGAATCTCCAGAAGAGAACTAAATGAAATAGAGACAAGTAAACTATGAGATACTGAGTTCAAAACAGCAGCTCTAAGGAAGCTCAATGAGCTCAGTAAGCTCAGAGAGAATTACCAAAAACTACATGGAAACTACAAGAAAATTACTGCAAACTATACTAGCATGAAAAAGGACATAGAAACTATCAATAAAAGCCAAGAGGAAATGAAGAATACAATTTCTGAACTGAAGAATACAGTAGAAGGAATCAAAAACAGGCTAGATGAAGCTGAGGACCAAATAAGTGAGCTGGAGGACAAGGTAGAAAAAAGCTCTCAGAAAGAGCAGGAAAATGAAAAAAGACTAAAAAAGAATGAAGAGGCAGTGAGGGAAATGCAGAACAACCCGAAATGTAATAACATCCATATAATAGGGATACCAGAAGGAGAAGAGGATGAGAAAGGGAGAGAGAACCTGTTTGAAAAAGTAATGATGGAAAACTTCCCTAATTGGAGGAGAGAAAAAAAATCACACAAGTCCAGGAAGCACAGAGGGTCCCATTCAGAAGGAACCCAATGAGGCTCACTCCAAGACACATCATCATTAAAATGACAAATATCAAAGACAAACAGAGAATCCTAAAGGCAGCAAGAGAGAAAGAGGAAGTAACATGTAAGGGAGCAAGACTACAGCTAGTATCGGACTTCTCAACAGAAACACTGCAAACCAGAAGAGAGTGGCAAGAAATATTCCAAGTAATGAAGAGCAAAGGACTGCAACCAAGACTGCTCTACCCAGCAAGGCTCTCAGTTAAAATGGACGGCGAAATAAGGAGTTGCCCAGACAAAAGAAGACAAAAAGAATACACCTCCACCAAACCAACATTGCAAAATATGCTCAAGGGACTGCTTTAAGATGAAGAAAAAGAGCCTATGAATACCCAGTTCCTTTCACAGTTGTCAATACTTGATATTACCAATATTTTAATACTTATTAATCCGATTGTGACAATGATGTGTTATTTTAATTGTTCCTTTACTATTTGTTGAAACTAAACCTGTTTTTGTATATTTCTTGCCTATTTCTATTATTTTAAAAGGTTTTAAATGACTTTTTTGTATTCTTTATGCATTTATTGATTAAAAGTTTGTAGAACTTTTTTCCCTAAAAAAAAAACCTACTAACCATGTTTTAGATGTGTTGCAAATATTTTCTTATTCTATTACTTTTATGTGTATATTACTGTACAGTCTTAAATGTTTAATACAGTCATGTTGCCAATATTTACTTTATAGCTTCTGGGTTTGAATATTTTACTTCAGGTCATGAAAAATATTAGTTCTATTTTCTTCTAAAACTCCTTAGATTCTACATATTGATTTTTAACTCACCTGAATATTTCTTGTATAATGTGTGAAAAAGGGCTATATATTTGTTTTATTACAAGTAACAGTGGTCCATTCATTTTATTTGTTGAATAAGCCTTATTTTAACCATAGATTTGAAACATCAACTTAATCATACATTGTCACACAGATATATACGTCTGTCTCTAGAATGCTCATTATATTTCATTGATCTACTTGATTATTTCTGTGCTGGTGTCATGTTGGTTTAATTGCTGAGGCTTTATAATGGTTTTAAATTTTTTAATATTTTATAATTAACTTTGACATTTAAAAAAATAAATAAAATCAATCTGCATTGAAAGAAAGAAAGAAAGAAAAAGAGAGAGAGATGGAACTCCT